TTATGGAATCCGGAGTAGAATGCCCAACAGCAAATGTTGTCCCAAACCAGCAGCGGCCGCTGTTGGGCAGGCGGCCTCCCGTCTCGACTGGACGCGGGCCGCGGCGGCGTGGGCAGCGAATCCTGCTCAGAATGAGCAGGAACTGCTGTTGGGCATTGTACCCATTCTTTTCGTACCCATTTCGGGCGACTTCGGCGCCCCAGCCGGCAGGCTTCCAGCCAGCCAGCCAGCCAGCCTGGCCAAATCTCCAGCGGGGAGCACAGAGCGGCATACACCGAAGCTGTAGGAGGCGAGCGCGGTCTTCTTGGATTGGCGGCGCCTCGATGCGCCGTCCCTAGCGCCTAGCGCGCCGCGCGCGCCAGGGAGGGGGGGCCCAGCCCCGATCCAAGAAATCCGCGCGGGTCTCCAAACGTCTGTGATCATGCCTATTGCTCTTCTTCGACTGATGGCGCCTGTCGACTGATGGTGCCTGCAGCGTCATCGTGCTCGGCTTAGGTCGGGCATGTCCTCCTGCAGGCGGGTTTTGACCGACAAATGAACATTTGCCTGACAAAGGACCCAACCATATGCAATTGTAGGTATCGTCGCTGTATGCACCCCCCTTCGGTGGAGTTGCTTCTGGGGCCATGAAACGTGTGAGGGGTGTGCCAGAATGGGCGCGGTGGGCGCATGCGAGCGCTGGCATTTGGGCCTTCGGTGGGGCTTCCCATGGGGCCACGAAGCGTGTGAGGGGTGTGACAACATGGGCACGGTGGGCGCATGCGAGCGCTGGCATTTGGGCCCTCCGTGGAGCTCCTTATGGGGCCACGAAGCGTGTGAGGGGAGTGCCAAAATGGGCGCGGTGGGCGCATGCGAGCGCTGACACTTGGGCCTTCGGTGGGGCTCCCTAAGGGGCCACGAAGCGTGTGAGGGGTGTGCCAAAATGGGCGCGGTGGGCGCAAGCGAGCGCCGGCATGTGGGCCTTCGGTGGGGCTCCTCATGGGGCCACGAAGCGTGAGGGGAGTACCAAAATGGGAGCAGTGGGCGCATGCGAGCGCTGGCATCTGGGCCTTCGGTGGGGCGCCCTGTGGGGCCGCGAAGCGTCTGAGAGGTGTGCCATAATTGGCGCGGTGGGCGCATGCGAGCGCTGACACTTGGGCCTTCGGTGGAGCCCCCTATGGGGCCACGGAACGTGTGAGGGGTGTGCCAAGATGGGCGCGGTGGGCGCATGCGAGCGCTGGCATTTGGGCCTTCGATGGGGCTACTTATGGGGCCACGAAGCGTCTGAGGGGAGTGCCAAAATGGGTGCGGTGGGCGCAAGCGAGCGCTGGCATTTGGGCCTTCGGTGGGGCTCCCGATGGGGCCACGAAGCGTGTGAGGGGAGTGCCAAAATGAGTGCGGTGGGCGCATGTGAGCGCTGGCACTTGGTTCGTCGGTGGATCTCCCTACGGGGCCACGGCGCGTGTGAGGTGCGTGTGTGTGTGTGTGTGTGTGTGTGTGTGTGTGTGTGTGTGTGTGTGTGTGTGTGTGTGTGTGTGTGTGTGTGTGTGTGTGTGCGTGTGTTGTGTGTGTGTGTGTGTGTGTGTGTGTGTGTGTGTGTGTGTGTTTGTGTGTGTATGTGTATGTGTATGCGTATGTGTATGTGTATGTGTATGTGTATGCGTATGTGTGTATGTGCCAAGGTGAGTGCAGTGGGCGCATGCGAGCGCTGGCAGTTGGGCCGTGAGTGGAGCTCCTTATGGGGCCACGAAGCGTGCGAGGGGTGTGCCAAAATGGGTGCGGTGGGCGCATGCGAGCGCTGACACTTGGGCCTTCGGTGGGGCTCCCTGTGGGGCCACGAAACGTGTGAGGGGTGTGCCAAAATGGGCGCGGTGGGCGCATGCGAGCGCTGGCATTTGGGCCCTCGGTGGAGCTCCTTATGGGGCCACGAAGCGTATGAGGGGTGTGCCAACATGGGCGCGGTGGGCGCATGCGGGCGCTGGCATTTGACCCTTCGGTGGTGCTCCCCAGGGGCCACGAAACGTTTGGGGGGGCGTACCAACATGGGTGCGGTGGGCGCATGCGAGCGCTGGATTTTTGGCTTGCGGTGGAGGCCCCGAAGGGGCCACGAAACGTGTGAAGGTGTGCCAAAGTAAGGGGGGCGACGGGAGGAGGTAGGAGGGGGAAGAGGAAGAGGAGGAGACGAGATGAGAGGAGGTGGGACGCGGGGCGCTGTCTCTTCAAAACAAGGACCCAACACCACAGGACGAATAAGAAATCATCAGAACACACCCCTAAATGGTCAGAAGAGCACGAACAAAAACTGTCACCAGACTATCTTTCTAACATTCTTGAATTTTCCTCCTTGCAGCGGGACATGCCCGACTTAAGGCTGGGCTGCACCGTTCGTCTCGGAGGAGGCGCCCGGGCCCCGAGCCTCCGCTGGGAAGTCGCACCTGCAGGGGCTTCCCTGGAGTGCACAGCCCGTCACCGCAGGGTTTTGGGACACTTCACCGAAGACGTTCCACTACTCGCAAAGCGCCTGCTCGCCAATGTCCGAAGCACATGTTCGCCTCGACGTATTATATCGTAGATCCCCCGCTGCGGATCCAGACCATGTGCGAGTAGTTGCTCCGCGAGTAGTGGAACGCGCTCGTCCAACACTGGAGGCCCCGGTCGCCCGAGACATCCATCCTCGGAGAACGACCCGAGTCCCAAAGCCGCGCGGCCACCCAGAATCTCGAGTAGCTCACCACACGGTGTGGTCACCGCACCGTTGAGGGGCCACCGATCTTCGACTCCAGCCAGCCCCGTGTTGGGTCGGCGGAGGAACTTCCGAAGGCGTGCCAGACAACACCAGGTCCCCGACGCGGACGTCGCAGGAATAGAGCTCGCAGCTGCTCGCCCGGTCCACCTGACGGGCGGCGACGTGCGCGGTGGAGGAGCAGATGTTTGCTAGGACTAGGTCGGGCGTGTCCCCCTACACGGGCATTTTCGACGAAAAAAAATACTCTAAACATATTCCAACATGGTCAAACAATACTAAAAAATAGCCCCAAGCATTTTTTAAACTATGTTTGAAAATTCCCCTATAGAGGGACAGGCCCGACGCAATGCAAGGAGCCGGCGCCGCGCCGCCGCGCCGCCAGGGGGAGACGAGAAGGAGCAGGCTTTCTCAGAAGGCAGCGGGGCTCCTCGGAAGCCCTCCAGCCTGCTGGGAGGCCCTTTGAAAGAAGCCGAACTCTATACACCGACACCTTTTCCGGCCCCGCACTGAGGCTCGCACAGGAAAACGGATCCTGGTGTTACGGGATCCTGGTGTATACATTCTTGGTTGTTACATCCGGAAAACGGGGAAACGCCTCTGCCCTCGTCCAAGACAATGTTTTGACTCTTTGGGGATACTCCTCCTGTTGAGGGACAGGCTCGACTTCAGTCTCGGGTCGAAGCGTCATTGCACCGACCTTGCAGACGTGCAGCAGCGCGGATTTGTGCGTGGACTTCTGTCAACGCAAAATCCCGAAACGGCGAGCGAAAAGCGAAGTGACTTTCGCGTGGATGTTTTGTTTAGTCTTCAGTCCTGGCCAAACCAAACAAAAACGCGCGACGTTCACCTGGAAAGCCGCGACGAAGCTCTCCAGGACACTCCGTGCCCATCCAAACGTTTTTCGAACGAAATCCGCTCTGCGATGTTGGCGCCATGAGAAGCGGGCTGCCTCGGTCTGAGGCCATGGCGCTTCGAAGCGCCCGACGACAAGCGCAGGCGGCTGCCGCTGCTGCCCTCGGCTCCCCTATGAGGTCCCCCCCTCCCCCTCCTCCTCCTCCTCCTCCTCCACCTCCTCCTCCTCCTCCTCCTCCTCCACCTCCTCGTCCTCGTCCTCGTCCTCCTCCTCCTCCTCCTGCTCTCCCTCCTCCTCTCCCTCCCTCCCTCCCTCCCTCCTTCCCTCCCTCCCTCCCTTCCTCCCTCCCCCCGCCCATTCTCGGCCCCACGACCGCGATCGAAGCTCAGGGAGGCTACGGGGATCTGGGGGGGCCCTGTAGCTTTGAGATCCGACGTTGCGAACAAGAATGCAGCACCACGGCAACTCGCGACCGCAGCCCTAGATCCAATCTCCCTGCATCATTTTTCGAACCAAATCGATATGTGATGGCCCCGGGCCCGAAGCCGGGTGAAAACGCCACGGCGTAGCAAAAAAACAGCGCCAGGAGCTCAAGGAGGGTCCCTGTCCTGCAGCCCTCGAACCTCTCCCAACCATCGCCCCCCCAATAACAGAACGCCCGGCGCGTTCCATAACGCCGCCAGCCGGGAAACCGCCTGCAGCTGCGCGAACCTCTGCGAGAGCTCCGGAGGGAAGTTCGTGAGCTGCCGGGCGCTCTTCGCTGCCACCCGCTCCGCATCCCTGTTCTCGTCGTCGTCGTCGTCGTCGCCGTCGCCGTCGCCGTCGCCGTCGGCGTCGCCGTCGCCGTCGCCGCCGCCGCCGCTTCCGCCGTCGCTTCCGCCGCCGCCGCCGTCGTCGCCGTTGTCGTCATCGTCGTCGTCGTAATCGTCGTACTGCCAGGACTTTGCCTTTAGGAGGGGAGGTCCTCCTCCTTCTCATCATCGTCACAAAGATTACCACCATCTGCCGAACTTTATGAGCAAGCGCGCGACGATCTACGCGGACTACAGAAAACTATTGGCTCTATACGTTTGTGGAGAGCATGGCCATCACACAGTGCGCCTGCCGAATGTTTTCGTATGATGTTGAGGCCGGGAGCTATTAACAAAAGAGTTGTTGACAAATCGAAGCAAGGGGTTGGCTACAAAGAGGACAACGAGAAGATCCGCGTCCCCCACTTCAGCCTCACGCTCTTTAAGCTGCTGCTGTTAGTCCGACTTACCAACACAGCTCCAGAAGGCTGGCACCGAGCAAACGCCGCCAGGATCAGAACCGCTGGCAAGGAACGCATCATTATGGTCATGTGCAAGCTTGGGCACGCCTTCTTCAAACATCTACGACTTTCGGCCCCAGAGAGGCAGGAGCAGAACTGGATGCACGGAGGACTCACACAGCGACGCCGTGAAAGCGCAGTTCTTGTTCAACAAATCGCAAGCTGGCGACTGCTTCAAGGGGGCTTTAGTCACGTCACGCGCTTTCATGACGCCACCAATGCATTCTATTCCATCGACCAGCCTGAACTACTCCAAACAGTCGAGCTACTTGTACGGCCTGAAGATGCAGAGCTCGCACGAGAAAGAATTCAACGAGCCACCTTCACCTTCCACGATGCGCCTGGCAGATTCTTCCGAATGGGTTGTGGCTGTTTACCTGGTGATACTTGGGCAGTCGACGTCTTTGTCGCTACTTACGCTCGCACTGTGGAGGCAGCGCACGACCAGAACCTGGTGGACGACCTGGTCTACATGCTCACGGCGCAGTCGCCAGTCACAGGCGATGAGACACAGCTGAAGGTCACTGGCTTTGTGGACGACCTGGCCGACAAGTTTTTGGCACCGAACACCGCCACGGCCAGAACCGCAGGAGTTGCACAGAACAAGATGATCGACGCAGGCTTGAACAATATAGGCACCCACCAGAACATCAGCAAGCAAGTCAACATCTACTACGGCGTAGGCAAGGGAAGCTACAGCGACGCGATCCAGATCAACAACGGGTGCATCCTACAAGGCAAAACAACGACGGTCGCCAGGTACCTCGGCCCGCGCCTCACCAACACGTTCACCATGACGGCGGAGATCGAGCAGCGCATCATTGCGGTCGAGAGGGGTTGGTCGCAGCTTCGCAAGTTCTGGACATCCGACACGCCATTTCGACTACGACTGAATATTTTCAAGTGCCAAGTTCTCAACAGTGCTCTCAGTGGGCTTGAAGTATGGGCACGGAAGTACACGCCATTGCGAAAGAGCGACTTAGCCGATATCGAGTCCCGGGTGGTCAAGTACGGCCGCGTGCTGCTCAACGGGACGGCCAGCTACGACGATGATCACGTCCGTCAGATTCCTAGTGTGTACGTTCTTCACAAGCTGCAGGTTGCCCCGCTTTTTGTTGAACTACGAATTCGCCGCATCAAGTGGATGCAGCAGATGGCTAGAACACCACAAGTATCTGTTCAGCCGCTCGCAGCTTTGTTTGGCCACATGAGCTTCGAAAAGGAACCTACCATCCTCCCCAATGGCCTCTTAAACTGCAATGCGAATCCCTGGGCTCTACAGTTCTCCGAGGACCTCCAAGCGCTCCGAGTTAGTGATGATTGGGACGACCTCCTGAGCGAAACAGATGGGAACATCTTGGACCTTTTGAGGCACGAGAAGTTTGGCGAGCTAGACCCCACCGTCTTGAGGGCACACTTTCGCACGCACATCGAGGAGTACAGGGAGGAGAAGAAGAGGGGGAACGAGGAAGGAGGAGTATATCGATGTCCTGCTCTGGGGGTGGATGGGGTACCATGCCAAATGACGTTTGCAACCCAGCACGCGCTCACCAAGCACCTCACGCACACGAAGACGGGCACACACGGAGTACGACACGTAGCACGGCTTATGGCAGTCAACAATCAATGCATTGCATGCTCTACGATATTCAAAAGCAAGGCTGTCGCCAGCAATCATATGCGCACGAGCTTCCTGAAGGGTTACTGTATTCCTGATCGGGCCCGCTCGGGCCTGGAGATCCACGAAACCACGCTCTCGGAATGCCCCATATGTGATCAACAAGTTGACTCAACAGAACATCTACGTTGGCATTTACAGCTCGAGCATCTTCCAGTATTGCTTCCCAAGCACGAGATCACGTTAACAGATTGGGAGTTCGACTGCGAGCTGCATGGCCGAGTGGAGCGGACTACTCATCGCCCCGAAGAAGGAGGCTCGCGGCGCCGAGTCCGCGGAAGGAGCCCCGCCAGGCAAGAAGGCGAACACCGACAACGCCGCCTCCGACCAGAGGCTGCTGAGGCAGCTAGAGAGCAGGATGCGCACCCTAGAGTTCGAGATGCAGGTAACCAAGTTCTTCAACAACGACGCCCAGATCATATGCAACATGGTGGACCTTCAGAAGCATTACGACACGCAAGTCAAGCAGATCGGAGGCGGTCACAAGCTGGGGAGCCCCCATCTACATCTTTTTGGCAGCATTCTGAGCGATATCGAGAGCTTCTTCACCAAGGGCGTCTCCCCCGACCTCCAGGGCTTCCAGTTCCTCGCCGAGCGCCTGAAGCTAAACATAGAGGTCTCGAAGGACCCGATTTTGATCGAGGAGTGGTGCAAGGTATGTGGATACAGCAAGACATTCGACGGCAAGAAGACGCGCCTGACCCTGGACTTGCGCGGACAGGTAGTGGTAGGCAGCAACGCGGACGTGGCCAGGGAGTTATTCCAAAAGGCAAAGGAGGAGCACGAGCTGGGAGAGATCCACACGCACCCCCTCGAGGTCGCGTTCCCCCTCCCCGCGAGATCCAAGCTGATGACGCTCAACCACGCCTTCGCCACCATCCTCAGGGGCATGGGCGCCGACGGCAAGCAGGGCCGCGCCCCGAAGGGCAATCTAGTCAGGAAGATCGGAGGCAGCAACAACAGGAAGTGAGTGAACATGACGTAGCAGCCCGCGTGAGCCTAGCTGCGGAGGCCGCAGCGGGCGATCACCCCCCTGAAGACTTCGAGGCAGATGAGGAGGCAGCAGGATTTTTTGGATTCTGACCTAGGAGCCTAGACAACGACGACACGAGGGCCCCTCAGTTTTAACCCTCACTTTTTCTGCCCTTCCTCTCCTCGGTGAAATCCAGGAGGCCGCAGCGTGTGACGCGTCCAAGCGACGTGGCCCAGGCGACCAGACACCGTTTCCAGAAGCTTTCTTGTATCGGGGTTGCCGAGTGGGTGTTGAAAAGTCGCCGTCGTCGTCATCAACCTGCCAAGACCCTGCCTGTGACAAGGGACGCGCGAGGACGAGGGGGCCCTGTCCTCCGCATGTTCCTCCTCCTCCCCCTCCTGCGGCCGAACTTCCCGTGTGCGCTTCGCGGGTAAGCGGCGGGGGGCTGGCTCACCGGGAAATCGGATGGCTCTCTGGGTGAACGGGTCCAACGCCGAATCGGTTGGTTCTCCGGGTGAGACCCTTGCAGGTTTTCTCAGAGAAAAGGTTTCCCGATTCCTGCTCCTTATTCCGCTCTTCCTCCGTCTCCTTCTGAGAGCATCATGCGCGCTTAATCTTAGAGACACTATCTTGTCACGCACGTAAGATCTAGAGACACACTATTGGCACAGAGCTCAGGCTCCGAGACAAAATCCTGGCACGCCTTTAAGCCGTAGAGACACAGCATTGACACGCACGCACACACACTTAACATTAGAGACACATTACTGGCGCGCTTACACCTTAGAGAGACAACCCAGACACGCACTTAAACCTTACAGGCGCAATCCTGACACGCACTTGAACCTTAGAGACAGACTCCTGCCACGCATGTTGATATTAGGGGCACAAGCCCGACACGCACTTAAACCAACGCGCGACCCTGGCACACGTGCACAATCCTGACACGCACATAAATCTGAGGGACACATTCCCGACCCGCCCGTAAGCCTTAGAGACACAGTCCTGGCATGCAAGTAAACCTTAGAGAAACAAGCACGGCGCGCATGCAAACCTGAGAGGCACGGGCACAACGCGCACTCAAACCTTAGAGACACAGGTACGACACGCCCTTCAACCGTAGATACACAATCCTGACATGCTCGTTGTCCTTGAAGACACAATCCCGACACCCACTTCAATCTTAGGGACACAATCACAACACGCAATTTAGCAATAGAGACACACATCCGCCACGTATGTTTCGTTTTGTTTCGAATACAGTGGGCACGTGCTGTCTATGTTTCGTAGTGTTTCGCATTACCTTGGACATGTTTTGCGTGTGTACGTCTCCTATATGTGCGGCATGCGCTCTGCATGAGTTGTTATTGTGTTCCCTACCTAGGCTCTGCCTAGAAGGGTTCATACTTTCTAAGCTTAAAGGGCCGGGCAGTGTTCCTCGCCCCGGGGGGTTCCCCCGGCATCCGCCCCGCGGTTCCCCCAGTGACGTTCCCTTAGCTTAGCGTTGCTTATCTCATCTTAGCTTAGCTTATTTCCCTGCCTAGGCTCTGCCTAGAGGGTTCTTACTTTGATTGCTTAAAGGGGCCGGGCAGTGTAAAAAGCCCTGGGCGGTTCCCTCAGTCCCCGCCCCGCGGTTCCCCCAGCTAAGCTTAGCTAAGCTAAGCTTCGCTTAGCTTATCTCATCTTAGCTTAGCTTAGCTTTGCATAGCCTAGCCTAGCCTAGCCTAGCTTAGCTTAGCTTAGCTTAGCCTAGCCTAGCCTAGCTTAGCTTAGCTTAGCCTAGCCTAGCTTAGCTTAGCATATCTGAGCTTACCTTAACTTAGCTTAGCGCAGCATTAGCACAGTATGGCATGGCATAGCATATCATAGCATAGCCAATCATAGCATAGCATAGCATATCTCAGCATAGCATATCATATCATAGCGCAGCATAGCATAGCATACCATTGCTTAGCATAGCACAGCGCAGCATAGCATAGCATAGCACAGCATAACATAGCGTAGCACAGCCCAGCATGGCATCGCATAGCGCATCATAGCATATCATAGCATAGCCCAGCATAGCACAGCGCAGCATAGCATAGCATAGCATAGCATAGCGCATCATAGCATAGCATAGCATAGCCTAGCACAACACAGCGCAGCCGAGCGTACCCTAGCATAGCATAGCAGGTGTAGATGTACATGTAGCTGTCGGTGTGATGTATAGGTTGCTTTCTTAAATGCTCCTACTCCTATGTAGGGTCGCACTGGGGTGCTATATTTGTTGTTGATGTGTGATGCTATGGCTGTTGCTGCTGCTGCTGCTCCTCCAACTGCTGCTGCTGATGCTACTGCTGCTGCTGCTACTACTGTTGCTACTGCTGCTACTGCTGCTACTACTACTATTTCTGCTACTACAACTACTACTGATGCTGCTACCACGGCTACAACTACGACGAATACTACTACTACTGCAA